GGTGATTTTAAGAGGACCATGGGTAGTTAAGTTTTTGCTTCTCACCTAGGTGCTCTTTGTGTTTTGTTCATTCTTTCCCTCCTTTATTTTTTCAGTTCTGCAGTGCTGATGGAAAGCTTTGTTGGACTGTGCTAGAGGAGCTCTTTTTGGAGTATTAGGAATCTGTTTTCCTTGAGTTACCTAACAGAAGCATTTTAATAGCTAATAATAAAAACTACCAGTTTTAGATGCCCATTTTATGCCAGATACTTTGTACACAGCTCTGATGTTTTTAACCATCCATAAGGTTTTGTGTACAAGGAAAATAGGCTTCAAAGTGTTGCGTGACCTTCTTAGGATAAGCAAATCTGTTGCAGTGGAGCTGGAGTTCAAACCCAGTTTTTCTACTTGATGGTTCATTTGCCAGTATACTTGAGGAGGGTCCCTACAGTTTATTCAGCTGGGAGCAGACTTCTCCCACCCCATAATTTATTTTATATTTATCTTGTAAGTGGACTTGATAGTGTGAGAAGTTGAGAAATTAATTCATAATTTAAAATATGGAATTAAAGTTTGGGCAATGTTTGTTCGAGTAGTTTCCCTCTCTCCTTCTCCTCTCTCAATTCTCTAAAGTAGCTGCCTTCATGAGTTCAGAAGTTTCAGAACTTCCTTTTTTAAAAAAAGATTGGGATTTTTATTTTCCTTTCTTGTCACCAGGAAATTGAATCAAAGGAAAAACACCATGGAACTAACTGAAAATCCTGCTATTCTTCTTCCTACTGCAGCTTATGTGTTCATGCAGAAAGTTAGTTTGTGGTTATTATATCAAATTGGATACGGTTTCCCATCCCCCCATGTCTTTGCAGTGTAATTGTAGACATTGTTAATAACCCTGCAGTCTGTATATACAAAGGCAGTCATATGACTAATGGCCCTCTTGCAAATCGTCATGTCTCTAGAGCTAATTTATGATAGTAAGAGGTCTGGTGTAGGAATATGCAATGATTTTAGTTTTATTACTGAGTCTGTATTATATAACATCAAAAAAAAATGCTGATTCTCCCCCCAACCATACTTTATCAGAAAGGTTATAGGAATTAAAAAATAATCTTGAGAGCCACTTGAGCCTAATAGGAAACATTAATTTGAGAGGGTAGGCCTGCCAGCCTCGTGTGGTTGATTTCCAGACAGTAGGGCGAGGTAACTTTATTCTTGATCAGTAGTAACGCTTCCAGTGTACTCTTTAAGGTAGTAAAGACTGATCCAGGAAACCCAGAGTTCCCCACTCATCTTTTAACCCTCAGGTTTTCTTTTGAAAAAGAAGCCTCTGATCATACCAAATAAACTCCAGATTTATAGCCTATTTTACTTATGATTAATCGTTTCTCCTTGAGATTTTGAATTCATGTCTGAAGGGAAAACATTGGATTAACAATTGGACAGTTTCTCTCAGGTATCTATTTCATGGCTACTTCTGTTATTCTGCCTTCTCTGTTATACAGTTTGATTTTAGTTATACACAAATAGAGCTGACAGTAGCTCACACGTAACCTGCTAACAAACTGTTAATGCAGCTGGAAGAGGTAAGCACACTGGTGTTGCCAAGCACAACACCCCCACACGCACATACCCATCCCCCTTGTTCTGTTTCTCTCCCCGTGATTCGTCCTCATCCCATTCTGCCCAAGTAAACAGTCATTTTTAGCAATTCCAGACAGATTTCTGTGCAGATACTTTACTTCTGCACTTCAGTTTTAAGTAAGGTAGCATTGCTTCGTCATGCTTTTTGCTGTGTGACTTATGTTTACTTTTACTGGTATTGTGACTCTTTTCTGATTCAGGGGTTCAGATTTCTCATCTTTGCATAGACTTGAGAAAGGGTACGGACTGGTTAAATGGATAGGGCCATGGATACTCTACTTTACATAATGTCATCTCTCCTCTAAGGCCTTGCAAATAAGATTTGAAGGCATAATTCAATTTGGATCTCAAATTACTTGTCATCATTGAATTGTGAAATTTTGGTCTTTATTGACATTTATTCATATCTACCTCAAATGACTTTCAGAAGTTTACAGATTAGCTTAATTCTGAATAAATGGGACAGTGCTATACATTGATTGCATTGATGAAGCACAGCATTTCTTCTTTAAAGCAGTTCTCCTGACTGACATACGTATCGCTTCATGCATCCATCATTTACCCATCATTCACCATCCATCTGCCATAAGTTTATTTGGAAATTAAGTGAGGCTATGTATGTTGTTTTGGGTGATAATATTAAAGAACTTAGGAGCCCCTTCTAGATTTTATTTATTTATTTATTTAGAGACAGAGTCTCTATCTCCCAAGCTGGAGTGCAGTGGCGCGATCTTGGCTCATGGCAACCTCCGTCTCCCAGATTCAAGCTGTTCTTCTTGCTCAGCCTTCCTAGTAGCTAGGACTATGGATGCCTGGCTGATTTTTGTTGTTTTTAGTACAGACAGGGTCTCGCCATGTTGGCCAGGCTGATCTTAAACGCCTGGCCTCAAGTTATGTGCCTGCCTTGGCCTCCCAAAGTGCTGGGGTTACAGGCATGAGTCACTGTGCCTGGCCTAAGTCCTTAATTGCTATCTCCTTTGTGAAATCTTCCTGCTTTTGCGTACATACAGAATGCACTACTCCTCCTTCCAAGTTGCACTGTATTTAGATACTAGGAAAGTTCTTGTAGAACTCCTCTAATTTTCACTTACATTGCAGTTACCTGTAGCTTGTTGGATTCTCTGTTACGTACCATAAATCTCTGGGGAGTTGAGACTCCTTATTTTACTCATCTTCACCTTCTGATCATAGTGCCTGGACTTGATGGATGTCTAGCTTTTAGCTCTTGAACAAAACTGAATCAGATGCTAGAGAACATTTTAAAAGAAACATTTTCTGCTAGAAAAATAGGCAAATCATTTGGCTTGTTTCTGCTAACATTGATGTCTGTGTAGTCAGGTTGGCTGCCCTTCAAAGAAATACTGTTTTCCCCCCAATTCTCTTTCATATATTAAATGTATAAATTCCACATATACATTATTATAAAGTGTGCATGCATGTGCACATGCTCATGCTTACACACACGCTCATGCTTACACACACACACACACACACACACACACCAGGCAGAGGATGCTTCAGCTTCCTGCAGCCTTCTTAGAAAGAATTGGACTTGGAAGGCAGTGGGAGTATTGTGTGGATTCATTGTTCCCGTGGAGACTTATCTTCATGATTCCTGAACCAATTATTCTTGCTTAAAGGTTATACTAGCCCATCATTCCAAGTGTTAGGCTCCTCTTAGGCAGGGGCTTAGTTCTTAGCCTTATTCCTCTTCAAACACGTTGCCTATTTACAGGCAGTGTGGTACAAAACCCTTGGATCATGATTTAATAGGCCACATCCTTTGCTGTCAGCCTTGACTCTGAATAATGAATTCTGCACCTTAATATATGTGTAACATGGGACAGGTTAGTTCTTTAAGTCCCAGTTTCTCATCTCTATATTGAGGACAACACATGCCTCATAAAATTGTTATGGAGAGAAATGACATGTCAGATGCCTGGCGTGTAATAGGTACTTGGTTGGTAAATACTTCCTACCACCCTAGAATTATACAGCAATGAGAGATTTCTTTTGCCACAGGATGAAAGGCTTAAGGAGGCCCCTGGGAAAAAAGCATGTGGAAAATCAACTTATTATTCTGATTACATGGAAAAAACATTGTCTCTTTCAAAGACAACAGAAAGCTTCGTTCATTCCCAGTCTGAAACCTACGTTGGCCTTTGCCCGTGGTATGGAAATTCAGTCTCAGGGGCTATGTAGAGGGTTTCCCTTTTGCATCCTCAGCTGTAGAACAGCAGTCTGAATGTGTTAGAGATTCAGGGAAGTGACGCATGCATGGGTGCCCATGATGAGTCAGGGCTAGGGTTAGGCAGAGCACAAAGTGGCATTCACCCAAACAACAAAAACATTAACTCAACTTTCTTTTCCTTTTATTGTCAGAAAGTTACTTTATGGAAGAAGGATGATGATAGGAGCATAGTTCTGGCTATTTGAGATCAGCGTGTGAAAACAGGAAATAAAATGTGAATTGTGATGAGTGTATTCTGCATATTGGAAAGATTTAATTCTGTGAGGCTAGAAATTCAAAAGAAAGCCGGATTCTTTAATAAGGCCTTACCCGTAGACATGTGATGTTAAATCTTGCTGACTTGGCTCCAGCCAAGCTCTTTGGAGTGACATGCAGCTTGCTGCCTCCAGCCACCACTCCTGAGGTGCCTGCCAGTCTGTACCCTGGGCATCATGGAGTCCTCGGTGTGTTTGCATTTCCTGAATTGGGCTCCTAGCCCCAGCATTGCATTATCCTCATGCAAACCAGGTAATTTCATTGACGTCCTCATTACATTAGTGGTTGAGATGGGAAAGAATGTGTATCTGAGAATAAAAATCATTATTTTTTTAGGCCTTGGATTGCTCATAATAGTAAAATAAAATCAAGTAATTACGTGCTTTTCCAAGTGCTTCATCATGTGAGCCTTTGTATTGTGATAATAAAGCAAGTGCTAGTGGATCTGTAAAATTCTTCCTATATAACTTGTATGAGTGATTTTTTTTTTCCCGCTTATGTTTTCAGATCTAATTTAGTTCCGTAGCTACTTGCAGGTCCTTGAGCTTTCGTTCTTAAATTTGTTCAAATCATAGCCCCTAGTTGAAATTCAAGCCTGTTCAGTTCCAGATACCATGTTATAGCCATAGTGAAAGCTGGGGCACACAGTTAGTGCTCTTTGTTAAGAGAGTTGATATTTGCAAATAATGTTAAAAGCTGAAAATGGAGCTTGAAGAAGTTTGGAAAAATGCCATCAGAGCTCAAGAGGAAGGAGAGGGGTGTCTTTTAGCAGGAGAAATTTGTGTATCATGAAATAAGAGCTAAGAGGACCCACCAGCATCCTTTCAGCAGAGAGGCTCTAATACTGCTTTTTTTGCTGCCTATGTTTTTTTAGGTCATGACTGCTGTGAGACAGTGAAGGTGCAGCTCTGTGCTTCCAAAGAGGGCCTTCCTGTGTTTGTGGTGGCTGAAGAAGACTTTCATTTCATCCAGGATGAAGCGTATGATGCGGCTCAATTCCTAGCAACCAGTGCTGGAAATCAGCAGGCTCTGAACTTTACCCGTTTTCTCGACCAGTCGGGACCCCCATCTGGAGATGTGAATTCCCTCGATAAGAAGGTGGTGCTGGCATTTAGGCACCTGAAGCTGCCCGCAGAGTGGAATGTGTTGGGGACAGATCAGAGTTTGCATGGTGAGAATTTATATGGTCTACAAACAAACTTTAAGTTTGTGATTTTTTTTTTTTTTTTTTTTTTCAAATGGGGCTGCTCTTCTAGGTCATCATATTCAGGTCTTCCACAGAGGCTGAATAGATCTTATAGTTACATAGGAAAGTGCCCTCAGTGACATCTCTTCTAGGTTCTTCAGTTGAGCTGATAAGCTTGTTGTTGCAGTGAAACGACCCAAGAAACTACCCAAGGAGAGTTGGCACATCACCTTCCTGTGGGTCCGGATTTCAGGCTTCATCTCTCAAGTGTAGAAAGTGACATGTCCTTCAGGAGGAGAATAGAGTTACTTTTTGGTGTTTAATGATCAAAGACATGATCATTATTGTTCATTGATCATTTTCATTATTGTATTCTGAAGTTCTCTAAAGATAGCCTGGAGGTGAAGGAGAGGAAAGATTTTGC